AACAACATTATGGACAAGTTTCTTCACAATTTCAACATTCAGATCATCCTGAAGACATTTAATTCTATCCCCATGAATGAGAGAAAAGTAGTTCTCTGCCAGTTGTGGTAGCACATGCTTTAGGGTATGCTGGAGGATCTCTAGGGAAAAGTCCATTTCTAACTTTATCTTATGAGATCAATATAACCTTGACATGAAGACATTACTGCATCTATAAATTAAATCAAGATTAATGTAAAAATCCTCACCAAAAAACACTTGGAAACAATGAAGAAAAAGGACTCATTAAAAAACTGGACAAATTACAACAGATAAAAACAGAAAATATTAACATAGTAGACATTAAAATAAATTTTAAGACACTCATTACAACCTTTTTACATTTTTTACTTTATTTATATATTGGGCGTATGTGCACTTGTTGCAGAGACCCTTGAAAGCTAGAGATGCTGGCTCCCTAGAGCTGGAGTTACTGCAAGCTTTCAGTTGTCAGTGTGGGTGCTGGAAACTCAACTCCGGTCCTCTGCAAGAGCAGTAAACAGTCTTTGAGCCTTATCTACAGCCCCATAGTTACAGACTTGATAACAAAAGTTTTAATTGGGGACGGCTCAGCAATTAAGAGCACTGGCTGCTCTTCCAGAGGTCCTGAGTTCAATTCTCAGCAACCACATGGTGGCTCCATCTGTAATGGGATCTGATGCTCTCTTCTGGTGTGTGTCTGAAGACAGCTATAGTGTACTCATACATATAAAATAAATTTAAAAAAAAAAGTTGTAATTGGTTCCAAATAAAAGGATCGCAGCCATCTCCACTCACACACTCAGACCGTAATACCATCTGGTTAACAGGGCTCAAGTGAGTTCAGGAATAAGTCAGTGCCGTCTACTCATCACTACTAACGTTTTAGGGAATAAAAACTATGCAACTGAGAAAAACAAATGACAGTGGATGGGGACAGAGGCAGATAACCATCACTGGCAGATGACATCTGCCCATGGGAGACAATCGTGAGAAATTAATTACCAAACACTATTTAAAAAAAAAAATCAGTGAAGTTCAATGATGCATCCCCCATAAAGCGATTATAATGAAAATCTATAGTTTTCTCCTATGCCCCCCCAAAAAAATTGACTAAAAAAATATAAAGGAAAGTCTTGAAATCTATGACTTCAAACTACAAGAAATATCTAGGAAAAAACTAACAGCACATGTAAAGGAAGCTTTAAAACTCCCCTGGAAGATGTAAGAGAAACAAAGAGGTATACACTGGCTAAGGAAATATCCAGAACTGTAGAGACAGCAATCATCTCTGAACCACCACATGAAAAAGCATACTGGATATCTTATAAATAAAAAATACATTGTAATAGAAACTTCAGGCGGTGAAATTCATGAACATTCTTGGAAGAATACACAGTTGAGAAAGTCCTTGGGGGCTATAGTGATGTCAGTGTTTAAAAGAGCTTGCTAAGCAACCAGGATGACCCGAGTTCAGACACGAGCACCCACATAAGACACCAGACACGGGCTTGTCTCACCGCAACCCTAGGGTTATTAATCAAGACAGGAAGACCTTGGGAGTGGAGGGTTGTTGGCTGCCAGCCTAGTCAAAAAAACACAAGCTCCAATTTGAGAGAAAACCCTGCTTCAAAAGATAAAACCAAAGTGATAGAGATGGACACCTGATAGGCTTGCTCTGACATAGACACCAGTACCTACATACAAACATCCACGGTAACCCCCACGCTCTCCCACACTCATGCTCACGTACATACAGTACCTACATACACGTATCCACGGTAACCCCCCACTCATGCTCACGTGAATGCCTAACAAGGATTTTCTCTATACCAATCCTACTTCTTTGTATACAGACATATTTTAATTTTTTGGTTGTTAATATTACAAAACTAATTGGTTGGTGTATGAGGGAGCAACTTAAATTTGCCACAACCAGTCCTATCTGATTTGGTAACTAAGACAGAAATGGTAAATACAAGAATTCTCTCTTACAAATCAAAATTAAGTCGTGCATGGTGGCTTAACTAAGTATAAGCTGGAAGATACGAAATTCAAGGTTGAGACCAGCTGGAAAGAGTCTGAGGTCAGTCCATGTGGAAACTAGGTAACACTGGTGAGAAGTAGCCCGGCCCTGGGGACTGTCTCTATCTGACACATGCCAACTTCAGATCAGCCCTATGAGACTCTCCCAGGCGGAAGGCAGCCTTCCTCAGACACGTATGACCTGACTTACTCCTGGTCACCGGCCTACAGCCTGAACTTGCTTTCCACAGACAAGGCGGGACTCAGTCATTCCGCCCACCTTCCCCTCAGGGGGGCAGAAAGGCGGGGCAACAAGGGCTTGGTGTAGGGGTGGACAGAAACAGCTCAACTAGGAAATGTACCTTCCTCAGTACCTTAGTCACATACTGAGGGGTCCTGGACCCTAGTGTTGACTTTCATTGTTTCCAAAGTATCAGTAATCAAAATATGGCTTGTCAGCAGTACTAAAACACCAACAGTTACTACCTGTTTGTTATGCGGTAAGAAGCCCACACCCAGTTTTCCTCACTAAAATAATAAACAGAGCCCATCAGTGAAGTGAGAGTATCATATACAGCACACAACAGTGTTCTAAATGCCTCAAAGAGGAGAGAAGGAAGCTGGCCTAAACACCCATGTCCTTATTTAACGCACACTTTCAAGCAATGGTTTACAAGCTTTATTTAAGGCTACTCTGATTTTTATAATTAAGGCTACTTTCCCAGTATTTCATGAAGAGACAGTCAAAGTGGCTCCACAAGATGGAGACGCCGAGTCCTTGAGCCCGTGTGAGTCTCCCCTGGGACACCCTCTCCACCCGGTGTAGTTCCTGACTGAAAGGCCTTTATGAGGAAAAAGACCTTCTGCTCTCTAATTGCAGACTATAAATGATCTTTCTCTGGGGGAAGGAGATGGCATTTACAAGCAGATGGCTTAGCAATTTCTTTCTGCTCTTGGTACCCATGTGGTGTGTAATTTGAAGTAGCATCCCTTAAACTTTAAATTAATAGCACTCAGGAAGTCAACTCTGCCCTGTCTGCATCTTAAACATTCTCACAGAGGACCCTGCTCTATCTCCTCACGGGAAGAACACCTGGCTTCTGAGGCACACTCCTCTTGTCACTAAGAGTCTGAAGACGACGACCACTCTAGAGGTGTAACCTTCATCCTGATATTCTGGAAGTCTGATTCTACAAGGAGCACTGAAGAGCAACAGGAAACATGGGGCTTACATAGCAAGAGCAAAGACTGAACCCACACCCAGGCTACCTTCAAAAGCCACAGTATCCCACAACTGTCTATGTTTGTAAATACTCATAGACGTAAGTCAGCCTTAACTGAACCCACACCCAGGCTACCTTCAAAAGCCACAGTATTCCACAACTGTCTATGTTTGTAAATACTCATAGACGTAAGTCAGCCTTAACAGATTGTTTAACAAAAATCTTGGATGGGATTATCTTTTGAGCATGCACATATCTCCACTTACTAATTATCACACTGATCCTCCACTTCTCTGCCAAGGGAAAAACTAGTCTCTGAATCTGCACATCACTCAACAGAAGGCTGACTGAGCTCTCTTTTAATACAGCACCAGTGCTGGGAAACGGAAACATACTCCATTCACACCAGGTAAAATACGCCTAGCTGGGAAGAATAAAAAGCCATTTTCATGTCATCTTTAGGTGGGTCACACATACCTTTGACTTATTAATATGGGAGAAGACAATTCATATTTGAACTGCCATGTAAAGCCTACACTAGGAATACTGTTAATACAAGTATGCGTCATTATACACTATAGGGTTAACTAAGATATCTATAGCAAATGTAAATAAGCCCCGAGTACATTCTAATAAAGACCAGAGTAGGAAACTCAACTCTGCTTACACTAAGGAGCATGTCCTTCTGCATCAGCGCCTTCTCCTGGGCTACGGCCACATCGGTCCTGAGCCCACTGAGCACTGCATGAACCAAGTGCCAACAGCAGAAACACACAGATAGGCCTCTAAAGCCACAGACAATGAGACAGTCACCAGTGACACAGAGGTTATCACTTGTAATAATATTTTCAAACACAGGACAAGGCATTTCTATTTAATTTCTTCACTGGCACATTATGAGGCTATAACACTACTGTATAGATTTGAATTATATGGTTTCCTAATTAATAAAGGTTATTACAGCATGAACTCCCATTAAAGCAGCGGAATCATCAACTGCGCCAGCATAATTTCTTTGTAGCAAAGCCTCTGTGAACATCCGCATTATTGTCTGTGTAAAGGAAATTGGCTTTTCATTTACAGAAGATTATAAAAATGATCTTCTGTGCAGAGTTTGGCTATAGTTTGTTATACCCCAATATCATGACTATTTTCTGTAAAATTATAAAATAGATTAACATTTCAGTTAACCTTAAAGCCTGATTTATAAATTCATGCATGCTATTCTCCGACAGAATTTAAAAGAAATGTTTACACTTTACACTTGTATGTCTGTTCTTCTTCCTCCCCGCCCCCATACAATTTTGTTAGTTTTGTAAGCCTTGTCTTCATTCTAACTCCAACCTAGCACTCCCCACTGTAATGAAAAGAATCCGTAAGTGTAGTCTAAAAGATGCTACCAAACCCACAGACAGCTGACTCAGCGAGGGGGCATGGAACTCACCAAGAACTCTCCCCAGATCCAAGGCAAGGGTGTTCCACACACTGAGTGTGTGCCTCACACTGTGTGTGTGCCCGCACTAGGGGACAGACAGGAAGGGTGTGTGCCTTGCACTATGTGTGTGCCTCGCACTAGAGGACAGACAGCCCTAACTCAAGCTATAGCTTTTGTCCTAGAAACTGACAACCCTTAGGCAAAGAAAGCTTCAGTCCAAAGCTTCCTGCAGCCCACTGGGAAAACGGATTTGTTTCCTATAAAATTGTCACCCTTTAATGTTTTAATCTTGGTCTTACCCAAAATTTCCACAAATCCTCATGGATAAACAAGTGTGCAACCTGCCTTCTGATCCTCTTCTGTGTATATGCAGCCTTCACTTACACTGTGGGAGAATTAAAAAAAAAAGGCTATAAAAATGAGAATAATGAATTTTTCTTCTGTTTTAGAATAACAAAAAAGTGAAGGATGTTTTGTATTCTGTGCACTAACAGCCTTAAGATACTACTGAATAATTGATCAGTTTATGATTAGGCTGCTATTTTCTGTTCTGAACAACATTCATGGACCAAATTTAATTCACATCTAATCTTGAATTCTTTTTCTTTTGTCAGGATCAAAATCTCTATCAAGGGTGATCTGTTTCTTAGAACTTTGCCAGTTGATTTCTTACCTAATGTCATAATCTTCATACATGACCAGCTCAGTTACAGCAGCAACTTAGAATGTCACTAACATAATTTTTTTTTAATTACACTTATTTTGTGTGAGGGGAGTGGGCATGTACAAGAGGCACACAGAAGCCACAAATCAACTGGCAGGAGTCGGTTCTCTCCTTCCACACACGGGTCCCAGAGATCCAACTCAGGTCACGCACCGTAACAGCAAGGGCCTTTATCCACTGAGCCATCTCACTGGCCCTGACCCAAGTTCTCAGAGTCCATCAAAGGAGATCCTACTAGGACCATGCCTTTGTAAGAGAAGTCTACACTGCAGGCACCTGAGAAGTCTACTGTCACAGAAAAGAAATGACTTACACAGTATAAGCAGAGTATTTCTGAAGGTCATTTCTAAGGGAAAAACGGTAATAATGTTAAGCTGTATGGTCCTCATGCTGTCACACTGTCGTCATATATGTGACAACCATGAAACAATCACAGAAATGCCGTGACAAATGCCTGCAGTCAGCTTCCTTCTCGGGGCTCACAAATGAAGAAGCTTATGTTTTACTTGGCAAAGCAGGTGGAGTCAGCTGCTGCTGACGAAATGAGAGCCACACTAGACCCTCGGCTGTACCAGTGAGTACCCAAAGTAACCCACACAGCGCGGCCAGCGTGGGGTTTAAAGGGGGGAGGGTTGCATGGCTATTAAGCAGAAGATGTTTTATTTTTAAAAGCATGGCAAGGTCAAGAAGCTGGTGGCAGGAAAGGAACATGTTTGAGCAACAACTGAAGAGAGCCCATGACAGACAACGCTGAGGGAGCGTCCTGTACAAAATGTGTCTGGGAGCAGGCAAGATGGCTCAATGGTTAGGGAGCCTTTGGAGAAGCTGCCTCTGGTTCTCAGCACCCACACAACTTACAACTCTGGCTCCAGAGGAAGCTGCTGTCTGGTCTCTGTAGGCACCTGTACCCTCCCTTCTCCTCCCCTCCTCCGCCCTCTCAAACCCTCACGTCTCCAAGTCTCTGCCTTGAGGACAGAATAAACCAGGTTACATTTTGTTGTCCTTCAAGGTCTAAAACTGCAACCACGTCATCGTGTAGCAAAGCCCAGTGCTGGACGGACAGACTGCTTCTTGAGGCTGAGCCCTGCGCACCATCAGAAGTTTACAGACACATTTTTAGGCCCAGCAATTGTTTCTAGGAATTTGTAAGGCTAGCGACCAGTTCTAAGTTTTAAAAGGCTAGGGAGAAACAAAAACATCAGCAATATGGCAAGAGAAAAATAAAATGAGACGCATTCATTAGCGAGAATGGAGTAACCAATCAGACACGATGGTGCACACCTTTGATCTCTGTGCTCCAGAAACAGAGGCAGGTAGATCTCTCGGAGTTCAAGGCTAGTCTGGTCTAAGTAATGAGTTCCAAGTTAGCCAAGGCTACATAATTAGACTCTTTATCAAAAAATAAACAGACAAAAGAATAGAATACTCTCCACATTTCTCATTTGGCTTTTGTAGTGCTGGGGATCAAACCCAAGGCCTTGTACTTGGACATCCCAGGTAAGCTCTCTTCACCAAGCCACACTCAGCCCTAGCTCAGCACATTCTGACCTGACCACCCAGGTAAATGACAGGAGCAGGCCTCAGACAATAGACTCATTGTGTAAGCAGACAAGCTTATTAGTACCTATTTTACATACATGCATATGCATGTACATATTTATATAAAGACACTGACATTCACCATGTTTGTATGTGTGTATTTTCTTAATTAGCCCAATCCATATTCTGATAACTGGCATGGATATCTAAATACAGGCTTAGTGAATTAACTAGACATTGAAGGTGCACACCTTTAATCCTAGCGCTAGGGAAGCAAAGCAGAGGTAGCCAGATCGAGGCCAGCAGGACTACAGAGATAGTTCCAGGACAGCCAGGGCTACACAGAGGAACTCTTGTCTGGAAAATCAAAAAATAAAAGAACAAAAAGAAAGGGACCTGAACAACATACAACACATTGTTAAAGGCAGGACCTCAGATAGACAGGAGAGTGCCTTAACTGGCAAACTTTGTATTTAAAGTCAATGTAGTATTCAAGTGTCTCTCTTTCAAATAGACCAAGCTTTTAAAAAAGGGGCAACAAAAGAGGTGATAAGTTTATCAAAAGGAGTTTGTTTGTTTTCCCAAAGGGAATACAGAGGGACAGAGAGATGCCTCAAAAGACAAGGGCACTTGTCACTAAGCCTAATGACTCAAGTTGGATCCTGGGACCTACACAGTGGAGAAAATCAACTCCCATGAGTGGTCCCCTGATCTCCACACACACAGTGGCACACGAGCATGTGCATGCACGCATATATACATATATACACATACACACACACAGGCCGCATATGAATGTTGGCAATAGTTATTTCCAACTGTCCATGGTGAGAAGAACCCTGGTGCTGACAGTGTTTAGTTAAGACAGGCTTTTAAGAATCAGCTACATGTGGCCAGGCAGTGGTGACACACGCCTTTAATCCCAGCACCTGGGAGGCAGGGGCAGGCGGATTTCTGAGTTTGAGGCCAGCCTGGTCTACAGAGTGAGTTCCAGGACAGCCAGGGCTACACAGAGAAACCCTGTCTCGAAAAAAAAAAAAAAAAAAAAATTAAGAATTAGCTACATGTATCCAGTTGCAATTCTTGGAAGACAAGAACCACCTGCTTCCTGCAAATTCAATGAATTATGAAAATGTGCCGTACCTTGTCCGGCTCAGGATGTAAATGTAAAATCCTAACTCAGCTGTACAAGATGGAGCCGGGAATCATCCACTCTAGAGAAGGGCAGGGCTCAGAAGGCCCACCCTTTCCAAGCACTTACAGACAGGTATGTTGTTAGCAGGGGAAGGACTTTCAGTCTCTACTGTCCTCCATGAGGGTAGAGGCAGCTAATGATTCCTAGGAAAAAAGAAGTTTCCTCAACTAAGGCCACACTCCTACCAACAACTCTAATTAAACTCACTGATCTGCAAAACAAAACCACAGGAGGCAGAAGAGAAACAAGCTGGAAACTAGATCCTGGGGAGTTGCAACCTGACTAGAAAGGGCAAGTGGGGGGCTGGTAAGTTCAGAATACATTATATGCATATATGAAAATGTCACAATGTAATTGATTATGTGTACATGAATAAAGCAGACATCTAAATAATTTAAATATCTTCATTAAACTAAATGCTTTAATTACAAAGTTTTCCTTGGGGCTGGAGAGAAGGCTCCGAAGTTAAGAGCACTTTGCCTCTTGCAGAGGACTGACTCGGGTTCCCAAAGGCCTCATCGGGCAGCTCACAACCACAGGTAACTCTAGCTCCAGGGGACCCAACACCCTCTTCTGATTTCCCTGGCTACCACACATCCACAGCATATACACACAAAGGCACACGCACATTTTCTTAAGTGAAAGGGAAAAGTGGTTCCCTCTCCCCTAATCTCAGTCAGCCCTGGCTGCTAGTGACTACTTCCCTGCTCTCTTTTCAAACAGGGTTAAGCACAGCAGAGCACTGTGCAGAGCTCCCTGCTGGCTGAGGCTGGAGACTGCAGTAGGACATGAGCACAGAGCAGCCCTCAGAGCCTGCACAGCCTTCCATCTCAGCCATAGCACCTCACCACCAAACAAAACTCTGATCTCCTGACCATGGGGACAGAAGCCACCGGTTCTCTTCCTAACTCATCGGTGCCATTTACTTTGGGGAAGGGCTGTGTGCTTCTTTACAGTAGGCTGAGGCCTCTGGGAAGAAACTGAAAGAATGAAATTTGAAAAGGAAGCCACTCCCACAACTCAGTTCCAGGGATATCTGCTTCTCAACTAGCACTCACTAACTTGTGAAGGCTTACCACACTCTGAGCTAAAAGCACAGCAGAGCCATAGGGGATTCTGAAAGAGGAGGTGACAGTGATTTTTGAGTACCAAGAATTCCTCTCTCATCACTGTGTAGGTTACCTAGAGCTCATAAGGCAGGAGATGAACTAGCCATCCTTCCCCAGAGACCTCCCTCCCCTGTTAGCAAAAGCCAGCATTTCAATATAAGACACCCACAGCTCCTAGAGTTGTCAAGTCTTTTCCTTAGAAGCTGCTGGAGTGGTAGGTGGCCCACAAATGCCTCTCTACTCCAAGGTGTCTATGGAATGCAGCCAGTGCAAACAAAGCATGCTGAGACACCCCCGTTTGGAAAGGGAAAGCCACCTTAGCAAACTGAGGGTGATATGAGAACAAACTTCTCCACTGCTACCCCAACTCCACCTCAACCCCAGTCAGGAAAGAGGAGCTGGAGCTGGGGCCACACCATGAGTTACTCTGCTGCCTTTTTCTCTTTCAATGTCTGTTCTGCTGGCGTTTCCACAGGCTTTGCCCCCATCCCTGCTTTGGTTGACTCCTCTATAAACTAATAATGTCTGACTCCCGTCCCTCTGAAGCTGCAATGACAGTGGCCTTTATAACACACGTGGCTACTGAGCTAGCCGTGTGGATAGTCCAAAGAAAAACACTTGAACAGCAATAAAGCAGCATTTCTACACATACAAGGTCATTTTTTTTAAGAAAAAGAATGCACAGAGTTGTTACATTTTTAAGTGCTACATTTAAAAGATACAGTTACTCTAGTTAGACTAAATTCTTACAAAGTATCACTTCTGTAAAATTTGTGATACAATACTGTGCCCTAAAGTGTATTTTTTTACTAATAGAC